TAAAAATACTACTTGTGCCTCAGTCTCGAGAAAAGAATATTGAATGTGTGAACGAGACGTATATTATAGCGAAGACTGAAGCGTTGTGATATATACGTGTTGGATTTCGATTTTCTTTGGAATAATCTGCATAATGCAAACGTCTATAGACGTTTTTAGACATGCCTGAATATATTATTCAGAGACGTATCAATTTATGAAAAATCTTAGAAGATATAAATTAGGTGATTTATTGAAAAATATAAACATAATTTACTAAGCAAATTAAGAAGATACATTGTATTACAAATTGTTACAGAGAAAGTAAACTTTTTAAAAAGTAATATAATAATTAAATAATAAAAGAGAGAGAGAGAGAGAGAGAGAAATATATATAATAATTTTGTTCAAATAGTCTATTGGATTGTCTGAAAAATTCGTATGAGTTTTTAGTTCAAATGAAACAATTTTAGAATATTGAATGAAAATTTTATTCAAGAAAATATTTCGTTTTGCTACTTTAACCTATGTTTTAGGCAACTGTAGGATTCCGTCTTGGAAGAGCTTGGTTGATTTGAAAGCAAAAAAGTCATTGACATAATTTTTTACTGTTTGCATGCAATTTTTTCGGATAATCAAGGATTTAGCATTGTTTTGGTAAAACATAACACTCGTTTTGTTCATCAGTTATGGTTGCTTGTGTTGGATGTTTCGGTTTAAATTGTTCAATTGGCTGTAATATATATCGGTAATTTGGGAGCAGTTCAAGGTCTTCCAGAGTCTTTACTTTTGCGCTTTGCGTCTTTAAAGTAAAAATTACTCACTTCAAATCTTGCAAATCACTTCTGAACGATTGGTAAAGCAATATATAGCATAATTTCTATAGATTTTATAAGTTTTGTCCGTTGTTTGCAGTAGTAGAAAAATGCACATATCAAAAATATATGTTTCATCCTCTATCTTCACAACCTATTGCCAGTAACACGCACAAACTCAACTGATTCTCAATCAAACTTCTAAAATAACACCATCCATTTTCGAAGGATGAATTAGTCAATGTTTAGTTGGTGCTAATGTGTAAGGATATAATCTCGATAAAATATTTATTAATTTATACGTTAAAATGTTACTTTTTATACGATATATAAATGTCATCTACTTTCAATCACTTTAACTTAACAACGCTTTATAAAGACATTTGTTGAAACTCATACGAACTTTCCGGAACTTAATTTATACACTCGTGTAGTTGTTCTTTTTGATAGATTCAGAGAGATTTTAACAATATTTATTCGAGAGCATAGTGAGTATGAACAAAAAGTATTATTTTATTGCAATTTGTAAATGGCAATAAGCTTCTTAAGTCAATAGTAATTTTAAAGTTGCAGATATTATCGATTAATACAAATAATATTAAGTTTTTATGTAAAAACTAAATAGTAGTAGTAATAAGTGCGTACCTGATTTTTACTGACTTTAAAGTATGTATATTTTGTTTATTTATGGAAAGCTTTAAAAAGCGCGCAATGTATAACAGTAAATAATATTCAGAAAAAAATTTTGATGTTTCTATTACATTCTCTATCGCGACATAGCTCTATTATAATTCTTGATATAACAATTATTAACAAAACATTTATAAAGAAATGTAAAACATGTAAATAAAGTCATGAAATTCAAATTATGATTTATAGAAAAAAGTTACAATTTACTTTTAGAATAGAGATCGATTGCAAATATCGATCTCCAAAGTGACAGAGTAGTTTCGATAATCGTCTTATTTGACTAAAAACGAATTGATAATAAAAGATAAAATTCCATTTTCTTGGTTAATATTTGTTCTGGTAAAATAATGTATAACGAACTAACAAGTATATTCTTATGATTTTATTAAATTACATCTCATTTATAGTGCACATACCACACATTTTATTTCAGTATAATAAACATTAATTTATTGATGAGTAAAAAAATATATTATATATACACTGGCTTAATTTAGACCAAAATTATGATCGCGCATGTATCTTTTTTATATATATATATATCTATATTTGTTACATAAATTTATTTTAATTTTGTCCTAATTAATCATGGGTACAATATATATACAGATGAAAATCTGTGATTGATTATATATGTACAGTATGTAACTTTTACTTATATATTCGATTTTTTTGAGGTAACTAGGAAATCTAACGAAAGTTAATTCTGAAGTTGCGCATTACATTATTTTATATTTTTGCTTAAGAATAATCGTATAAATACTGAGTAATTACTATTATGTATTTTATACTGGGTAGCCATAAAATTCCTGTTTCATTTTGTATAATTAGCCATTATTGTCAAATGTGCTATACATATCAATATTCACTACTAAATATTTGATATTTTTATCAAGAAATACAAAGGATGTCACACACAGAACTTGATTATGAAAATAATCGAAAACGTATATCTACCAGGTAATTAATTATATATGTATATATTCTTAGTTTTCTAAGTATTTTATTTTTTATACTAAAAGATTTTTATATTATTTTTTTAATGGTTTTGTATTTCTTCACATTCAAAATATAAATAATATTAATTATACAAACAGATTATATTGTAAGAGTGTCAAATAAGCATCTCCCCGTCGAACGTAAGAATGCGATAGGTTCAATTTAGACGCTAAATATTCAAAATAAAGCATTCAAATTACGGGCTTATTTCATTCCTTACACCGGCCATTCAACTTTACATTAAAGGATTTCGTGGCCACCCTGCATTTGAAAAGAGAAAAATGCGCGACGCACGCGCATTCGTTTCGGTTTTGCGACATGAGCGAATGTTGATATCACAGATTTTTTTCGATTTTTATTGATAATTATACCTGAAAGTTTTTTCGTTCGGAAAAGAGAACTATGTCACCTCTATTATATAAATTTCGAAACATCGGAACTGCGATCCTTTTCCGAATTTACTACACTTATTGTTTTGGCACACAAGAATATATAAATCTTCAACTTTTTCTCTTTCTTTGATCCTTAAAGTAGCGAACGGTAGGTGTATTATACTAAATTAATGATAAGCTAAAATAAGTATCGATTAATTTTTTTCCCTATGGCGGAAATGAATTTTTTTTTCACTTTTCACAATTCTGACTTAAGGAAAAAATTATATAATCGGTACTCTGGTGCCCTTATTTTAGATACATTGTACAAACCACATTTGGCAATAGAAATGGTTGATATTTGCCACACAAATTTAGTGTAATTTAAGTTTGATAGAAAAGAGATCTTACTTCGCTAAATATACAAAACAGGAGAGTTTAAATCTAAAACAAATTGCCATAATGTATAAATACACCTAAATTAGATCGCTAGATATCAGACGTAGAATACTCTATCCTCAATTGAATCTTCGCATCATCCGACTATATGCGATAAATATTTCGTTTTCTCATTCATAAATGTAATAGAAATCAGAGTTTTTCATCCAACAACATAAGCTCCATTCAGTCCACGTACAGTTAGGCTCCCACTGCATTTCCCTATCGGGTATGAGTTAGTTTTTCTACGTTTTTCTTCTTGTACTTCAGCTTCTAATCATATTTCAATGATTACATTGTCAATATTGAAATGTGTAAAGGCTGGAGCGAAAAGACAAGAAAAGCTAGCTTGAGCCTGACGAGAAAGAAATTTGGAAGCTTAACTGTAAATATAACAATGATACATAACAACGCGCCACTCTTTATATGACGATATCTTCAGTGAGAATTATCACACGGTCATTCGCTTGCGCATAATCATGTTCACATTATCAATCAGCGATCGACAATATGATTTTAAAATATTATCGTGAAAGGCATCGAAAAGTGAAAATTAATTACCAGGAGACAGACTGAAAAGCAACGCATACGGTCAACTATCCTAACGAACAAAATGGAGGACAGTATTATATTGTATTTATTCAGTTATTTTTAATAAATATGCACAAAAATTTTGATCTAATGATTTTCAAACAACCGGAGTTAAAAAATATATATAAATATATACTTTAAATATATATATAAAAATAAATTATGCTAATTAGAACTAATATTTGCAATCTGTGTGTGTGTGTGTGTGTGTGAGAGAGAGAGAAGTTTATAAGACTTTAGAGCAGGCGTGTCTAACATTTTATTTGCCAGCTACGATTCCCCCTCTCCATATTTTCGCTGAGTGAGATATTGAGAAAAATAAACGCTAGAGCAACCAATCACTGAGCAGAGCTTTGGGATCTAGCTTTCCTGTTTTCTCTTTGTCTCGCTCAATCGGACGCTGGAGAAATCGAAGCTTTCTTTAGCTTGCCAGCAATATTGAATAGGTCTGGTTCAGGACATGAATGCTGTTACTCGAAGAGTAGTGGTTTCTTGAGCATAAAAAATTTGGTAAATGTAAATTGCTCTAAAATTACGTACGAATTTTAGAAAGTTGCTATGACAGAAATAAAAGATTCACTTCTCAGGTCGATATGTCTAACGTTGTGCGATTTGTATTTCTTTTCTTGATTTATAAGGCGTTTTATGTTTCCACAGATGATAAAGCTAAGTAAATAATGGTGTCATGTATAAAGAAAAATTTCTAATCTATTAGGAACAATTTATTGGATTACAAGGCGAGTATGTAAAAAAAAATAGATTAATATTTATTCTGTTCTTTCCTTTGAATTTTGAAAATATACATTTTTTCGTTCACGAGTCAATTTAACTATACGTGCATTACTTTTCAATCTATTCTCGTATATTGAAAAAAAACCCGATATCACATTTCGGGTTGAGGATTTATCTCGCAAGATATAAAAGCGTGGCGCTAAAATAAATATTTGATAAAAAAAGAAAAAGAATTAGTAAAATTACTTATACAAATAGTAAAGACTGTAAAGTGATATAGAGATTACTGCATCATATACATATATATAAATAATAATAATAAAGATAAGTCAATACACTATCAAGTGCACCCGTAAAAAAACTCGGTGAAGTTTCACGATAAAACTTTTTGACATACATTCGAGATTTTTTACGTTTCCGCTTTCGTTTCATGCATTATACAATTTAGAGAGAGTAGCGTCGCTATTCGCGTGCTAGTATTACAACACTTAACAAACATTCAAGCTGTCCAACAAATGTTACGACTAGTCTTAATATCTATTGTCATTCTACTAAGATAATTTATGTCTCTGTATTGAATTTCTGGTACTTTCTTTTTTACAGTTAGTTACTTCAGTTTCCTTAGAGTGCGGTCCCATGGGATGCGGAACTGCAGAATATTCGTGATTGATAATAGTTTTATTCTGCCGATTCCGTCGTTTTCTTTTCTGCAGTTTTAGTTTTTTTAGTGGATTCGTGTGGATCTCTCTCTCGCCAACGACGCTAACTTGGTTTAAACGAAGAAAACCTGTCTTCTACAAAAACGTATACTTAATCGAAGGCAAGTCGATTAAGAGCCAGATCAGAAACGGAAAGAGCCGTAAATAATACGCAAGATGCACGTGGAATCGAGCTATAGATCACAAGTCGAACCGTTTGAAAGCGCGTAGCTACTCGCGGTGTCCCTGTATCTTCTTATTAAATTAATGGCTTCTGCCTACAAATAAATACGGACGTCAATACGGTCAGAAAATGAATATCGTAAATAATATACAGAAGGCTTTTGTGATTTGTCAGCGCTAATTGCGCATTCCGCTCAATGGGAAACACTTAGCGGAGCGGAATGAAGCCACAACCAATCATAAACGGTTCGCAGTTCCGCATCCCATGGGAGCGCACCCTCATTTTTAATTGTATTTTTTCTATTCATATGTCTAAAGTTTCTTTTAGAGGCAGCTTCGCAACTTCGAAGAAAATCCTAGAATGTAAATAAAATAGAGTGAACATTGATAATTTACGAAAAATATTGTAAAAATGTTGTATATGTATACAAGATGTCTCAGAATATTTACAATGCTCGTACGCAGACAAAGTGGAAATCCTCTAATATATTACAATTTTCACAATAGTTAATGAAATATTAATTTCTAAAGATCGCTGAATATTCACCCGGCCTACTGTTTAATGCAAACGCGAGATACGATCGTTCAAAGCGGGAAGTAGTTTGCCTTTGCCGCTTGTAGTAAATAATTGCCCGCGCGCCTAGCAATCACAATCTGGGTGTATATTTTGCGATACGCCGGGTGGTTATTTCGCATTCATTCGGCGATATTTAATAATTAATTGTTAACTATTGCGAAAATTGTAAAATAGTACAGGATCTTTTAACTTATTTTAGTCTACTCTCTATCTGCACTCGAGTGTTGTCACGAGAGTTACCGGACACCCTATACACACATACTTGCACGCACGAACGCACTTAAATTGAAAACCTTGAATGTTTCACTTATTTTTAATGATACAAAAAATGTTTCAAAATTTGAAAATGGAACGGTTTCGAGGGGAATGTATTTTGGTCACGTTTTTTTCTAGGTGGAGACGCTAGAAAGATATGAAGATTATCTCCACTTTCTTAAATGGAATTATATAATTTTTAGACAATATGACCTCTAATTATTCTGCACATAATATTATATTAATATTTCAATATGTCAGAATAAAATATAAAATATCTTGTAAATCGTAAACTATTGGTTATTTAATATTTCTACCTTAATTTTTTTATGTGCAGATTAGTTAAAAACGTGAAATTTTGTGTAAAAAAAATCATATAATTCCATCTAAAAAATCTTCATATTTTTGTTTGATATCTCCACCTTAAAAAAAAGTGATCAAAATACGTCCCCCTCAAAACCATTCCTCTTTTATTTAAAACATTTTTTTTGTATCATCAAAAATAAGTAAAATATTTAAAGTTTCCAATTTAAGTGGATCACTCTTACAAATATATATATATAAATGGAAATACATAAAAGAAATAAATTAAATATAAATAATACATAAAATTAATACAATTAAATAATTACTTGTGGCTGTATTTGCTGCGGACAGTTTTTAATGTTTCTTTCTGCTTCCTATGTAAACTTTGATTCAGAAGATTGCAAATATCTCTTATGTCGTCCAGTTTATAACCACTATAGTATTCTAATGTTGGATTCCATCCTCCTAGATCTTTCATTAGCAATGCTAGTAACAATGCCGCCGCTGCCATTTTGCTATCACTAAACCTGATCATCGTATAATCCATCAGCGAGTGTTCCAATATATACCGAGCCAGAGTTAACGTAGGCATGGAGACCTTGACACACTATTTTCAGATAATAATGATTAAGTTAATGTATAGATCCTATTCGAATAAGTCTATCAGATTTTTTAAAATAGATATCGGAGACTAAATTTAAAAATATTAAAATAACTGATCTTCTCCAATAGAAGAATGCAATTGTACTTTTTTTTACGGTCTGATGTGACTTGGAAATATCCACACAAACAGAGTGTTTAGTAGAAACTGTAACAACGCTTAAAAGTAGATTCCTGAGATCATTTTGAGATGAAAAATCTAATACCAAAATGTCGAGGCTTTAATAGTTTTCGAATTATAAGCACTTAAAATTATCGAATCATACTCTCGACATTTTGATATTAGAATTTTCGTCTCAAAATGATCTTGGAAATCTATCCTTAAGCGTTGTTACGGTTTTTCCGAACACCCCGTATATGTGTATGCACATACTCAACTCGGGTAAAATGAGCCAGGAGCGAACATATTAAATCATATATTATTTTGTAGGTACTATTATACACATCAAGTCACATTTGCTCGTTAATCTATTATATAAGGCCCAAGATTAAACCAATAAAGTTAACAAGAAAATAACAATTGGAAATAAGACCGGAACGTGGAAAATATTTCTGACAAATAAAAAGTACATTACAAAAATCAATTTTGTAATAAATTGTCATAAACCAATTATTAAATATTGAATGTAGAGGGAAATTACACCAGTTAATTTTACGGGAAAAATTACAAAAAATACATACAACCTTTCTAGTTTAGCCATCGACATTAAGAAGATAAAGTATTGATACACAGGAAGATACTCTAGGCACACAAGGAAGTCTTATTAATGTTATAAAATATATAATATTAGTAGTATTACAATAGTTAATTGTTTTTAAATATCAATTAGTTAATATCATATATGATAATATTCACTCTCTACCAAAGTTACTCTTCCTATTTTTAAGAGTTAAAACCATATTATTTCTCTCAACTTCCTCTACAAATACATATAGACGTCAAATGTATTCGCTCGTGGCTCAGAACTTCTAGTAAAATGTTCGAGATTTTTTACATATTATGAAAGAAAAATATCAGATGCGCTTTGCTACTCCGACTTGGAGGAATCGAACATGGAGATTCCATTTGTTGAATTGTTATTATAACTAACAATATAAGTCAGTCAGATCTTATGGATTAATTCCTATTGATTCAAAAATATATTAGTTTTAAATCTAATTTCGAATAATAAAATCAACCTTTTTTTTTGAAAGAATATTATTTCATTAACGGAAGAAATATTATATCGTCTAATATATTCATTTAAATCTTAAGACAAAATATTCCTATATATAATAAATCGGTAGCTTTGTTACTACTTACCCTAGCATAACGCCGAAGAAATCTGTAAGAAAGAGGCATTCCCAGGTCAAAATTGACTACTTTTAAAACATTCATTTCCATTTTTATCAGCTCTCTCTGTGTGTAAGCGCCATCACATATATACAAGAAATCTTCCACCATTGGTGGTATTCTTTCCTAAAGCCGAAGTTACAAAGTTTTTATCATGAGCTTATTATTCGTGACGAGAGTACAATTTTGTTAGGCAAAAATTTTGTAGATATATAATTATAAAATTTACATCAAATTTGCTTGCTATGAAAAGACTTGCAGCGCCGAGCAATTGTAGAGTCTCTTTCCCAACTGTCATCTTTGTCAGATATAAATCGACAAGTTTTACAGCCAGATATAGGGTCTCATGGTTCAACTCAAATGACTCCTGAACCTCAACCATCCAGTCGACTAGTAGCGCTCTCATCCATTGCGAGAGACATACTTGCCGGTCCATGTAATCACCGATGGGGAATAGATGTTCTCGTTCCTTCAGGTATTCGAAAATATCCATTGCATAGGGTGATACCTGGTATGGATCTAGCCAATTTTCAACATCAAAGTCCCATTGAACGCCTTCGGGTAATTTTCTTACAGGTATGGCAATCAATAAAGTAGTGGCGGAAACTTCATTCTCATTCGTAGGAGATGTGGGTTCTTTTTCTTCTGCTATTACTGTTGGTTTGTCGTTGGTTTTTTCGTCAACCTATAATATATATTTAATCTATTAATACTGCATAAACAGTAAATAAAGTCTAATATAATAAAGTCTTTTTCTTCTTCCTCTTCTTATGTTAAGCCTCTGGCCTATGTGTGTGTGTTATATCATATGCTTGTGGTGTTCACGGTGATTATTCAATTGTCACAAGCATATCGGACCTACAGTTTTAATGCCGGTTCCGAACGGCGGATTTTTCGAGAGGTGTTTCTATGGCAGTATAAAGTAAAATAAAATATAGTGTAGTAAAAATAAATAAAATATAAATTATCGTTTTTATGGAAATATATGCAATCAATTACTGCACTGATTAACAATATTATTTGGTCATGCTCCCCAACAACTGCGTTACACTCTCATTTGCCGCATTTCTCAGGATTTTATAAAATATAAATAGTAAAATGTTAAAAATATATAGTGTAATTCTGTCTTAGTTTAAAAAATTATTTCTTACTCTTTTTTAAAAGTAATTTTCTTTGTGAGTTTTAGTCTGAGTTTTCTTAAGTTTTCGCAAATAAATGAAATTAAAGAAAAACGTAAATTCTAAGATATTATACATAATAATATATTGCAGAAAGTACATATATACCTTGTTATTGCTACTCCTGCGAGTCTTTTTTATGCTATCATTAACGTCTTCCAAAGCACTGACGTATAACGAATTATCCTCAGATTTTTCTAAATCTGCACTTCGTCTAATATTTACAACTTTGTTAATAATTTCTGTTTTATCATCCTTTTTGAGAATAGACTTAATACGAGTCGCCGGTTTTACTTTCGCCGGTACAACTTTTGATGTAGTAACATCTGCAGGTTTCTCTGAAGCAACGTTACTTCCAACTGGTTTGGGCTGAGTAACTATCTTTTTTGTTGGATTATGCCCTACTAGCGACGTAGTAATGGCCTGTCAGATTCATAATATAGAAGAAATAAATATATAGATAAAAAAATAAAATAAAAATGAATTGAATATTAAAACGTTACGATTTAAATAAATTAAAACAGTGATCGGAATTAGATCGTTTTTGGCCCGATTTTCGTGTTAATGCCTGCCACTTGCGTTTCTACAATAAGCCATTGGATTTACGTAACTGATATGTGAGGCTGTTGCAAGAATACTACGCATAGATAGGATCGTATATTCTGTTCGACAACTTGTTATATGAGCAGCAAGAAAGAATTAGTAGACACGAAAATAGTGTCAAAAGTTGCATTTAAATCCGATCACTAAATTAAAGTATAAATTTACATTTTGTTATAAAAATTGATAGAATAATTGCAGAGTACATACATTGGTGATATTTGTAAAAGCGTATCTCTTGTTCGTTTTTTCTTTAGGTGGCGAAAATACATCTGATTTTCGCTTGATGCGAGTTACTCTGCCTGTATTGGATGGTTTTAATACATTGCTCAATAAAGAATTTTGACTCCTGGTTGTTATTCCTTTCCTCAAGGTTGCAGTGCCGTTTTGTCTATTTTGTCCAAGTAATACTTTTGGAGGTGCCATTTTTCGGATATGATAAACTTTGGTACGTCTGTCCCTTATCTAATTGCTATTATTCACAAAAATACATATTATAATTAATTCATAAATTATATATAGTTCAATTCACAGTATATACATAATATACATAGGGCATAATGATTCAGAAATAGAGGATGAGTTTAAATTTTGACATAACAACATGCTAATATCTATTTATCATACTTGGTAATTTTTTAATTTAGTTTATTCTGTGATTACCGTGCTGTGCATTTTTTATACTTAGAACATGTGTTACTTTTTTACTCGTTATTACTTGTTTACTGATCAATTGCGTTTTGTTGAGATCTCTCAGTTATTCAATACCACCCAGCCATCCAACTAATACGAGTTTACTCTTTAATGGAGGAATGATTGACTGCCTCTCAAGCAATGTGACTGAAGCATTTGGGTCTTAATATTTATTTGTATTAAATTAACATTTGCTGATGAAAAGATTAGCTGAAACGTCATTGTATTATAATGTAATATAAATTATAATTCATTTAAGTACGATAAAGTTTTATGTTTATACAATTGCGCACTGTCTGCAACGCTAATTCTAGAGCCTTATTTTTTGGTGGCGTTCTAATCGTAATAATCACGTGGAGTAATTTGAACATGACCGCATTAAAACTTTTTAAAATGTTTATAAAAAATGATCATATATGGAACTTTGTATGACATAAATAGCTACATAACGATTTAAAGTAAAAAGTTAATTTAGAAAATTTAAATAAAATTCTACATAGTGCACTTATGAGGATAGAGTTCAAGAGCCCTTTACTATCATTTTTAACTTTTCATCTGCATACTCTTTTTACTCCTTCCATCTACAATCTAAGTCTTTTGTTTTTCAATACAAGCTTTTTTATTACTCTAGGCTTCCAAAAAAAAGTGGAAAAGTTAGGGCTATTTTTCAATGTGTCTATTACATTACTAAATAATTTCCAATTCAAATGTTAAAACCTTTATTTCCGCCCTTCTTTACTTCGGAAAAATTTTTAAGTGAAATTTCGCTTATGCCAAAAGAACTCACATTGCAGACAGAGTTTATGATGTCATTATTGAACAATTGTTAGTAAACTTTCTTTATTCAATAACAAAATAATGACAAAGTTATTGTAAACTCAACAACTAAAAAGATGTTTACGATAATTTTGTTACCATTTTGTTAATGAATAACTTTTATTATTTATCGAAAAGGAAATGTTATTCACTAACATCAGTCGTTCGGTATATCATTAAACATTAAAAACAAAATAGAGTCTTTAGGCTGCATTTTAGTGCTGAAAATCTATAGTACGCGTAATAACATATGTAATAGAATGAAAAAGTACAATACTCAATATTAAAAGTACAATTTACAATATGGTACTAACTAACGAGATGATGCAATATTTCGTGCATTAAAGTTCATATTCTATACTTAAGTTACAGGATAAAATTGAACGTTTCAGATGCATTTCAAGCCTTCTTCTCTCAGCAAACATTTTTTAAATCCCATATTTCTGGATCACAAGGCAGAGTCGGAACAATTTCGATTGTGCTTTTGTGTGTGTGTGTGTGTGGTGATAAACAATATTCCAATCCGCACATGTTAACAAGTACAGTAATGTAAAATTATAATAAATATATTTTACGTATTGCGCTCCAAATATCGCGTTGTAAATGCTCTCATTGTCTGCTAATTAATATTTATTATTGTTTGATTTTCGAGAGCCCTATTAAATATAATTGTTTTTTAGAGAAAAAGTATTAAAAACTTGAGTTTAGGAAGTGACTATTAATTTCAACAAGATAACGATCCTAAACATACGGCATACATTTGTGAATACATAATACTCCACATATTTTAAAAATACCGCCTCAATCTTCAGATTTAAATCCGATTGAACGTTTGTGGAGTAAACTCAAAAATCGATTGAAGAAACACATAATTTAAAATAAAATACTGTTAGAAGAATGGAATAAAATGCACCGTGAATAAAATGCAATGAAAAAGCACTGTTAGAAGAGTGAAATAAAATACCATAAAATTTGTTTAACAACTTAGTTTCTTCAATTTGATTCAATGGATTCAAAAAAGTAACTAAATGTTATTTTCTTTTTTATAACCTTTCTTCACTATTACAATAAAATATGCTAATATTTTTGTGCCCACAGATAAAATGCTCTCAGAAAACATTTTTATCTTTCTTTTGTGATTACATTTATTTATGTCAATTTGTATAATTTGTATTATTAAATATAAAGTATAAAATAAAAATTTTTATAGGAAAACTATTGCTGTCATTCTCTTTATAGCTACGAGATGCTTTATAGGAACAACAGTATTATGCCAATACTTTTGTCTAACATTTACATATTTGTTGGACAGGTAATGTGTTAAATAATTTGATGTATAGGGCGACTGTTACCAACACCAATTAACTTAATCGACGATTAACTCAATCAGCAGAATTACTATTATAGCTAGAAGATTTTCATTACTTTTATCACAATTAAGTATAGGAACGCAGAGATAGAAGTATATCACAAAGAGATAAGGTTAAGAACGATATACAGTCTTGCTGTTGATTACATTGCTGATTGAGTTAATAGGCGTTGGTAACAGTCGTTACACCTCAGTGCTTCAACACAGATCATTAAGTGCAAGTAGTTTTTGCTATTTATATAAATTTGATATGTATTTACATATAATAATTACTAAACAAACATTCAAATAATAAACACTTTAAAAGAAATTTTCTGTGTGTATTTTTGTTAATGTGAAAACGATTCCAGCACTAATGATGAGAGAAAAAAATGGTTACAATACAATTACCGCAATTTAACTACAATTTATATAATTATTCTTTAAGACAATTACATATTTATTGTTGTTTTAACCATGCAAGTATAGTTAATTATGCTATTAATGTAGTTACATACATTGAAAATCTTTAGTTTTTTCTTATATATTTTTTAGTTATTATTACCACAGTAGTAAACAAGTTTAAAAAAATTATATTCATTACAATTGTATTTACTGAATAAAAATATTTACTTTATTTACCATTTATATCTTGACATTTTATTGCATTAATATTTCGAATTATCATAAATTATAGTACTTCTTCATATTTAATCGAACTACATATCATGTTATATCATTACTAATAATTATAGAAAATGAAGCTCCTAATCATAATTATTTTACCATGTTATTGTAGTCAGAATATCAAGTATTTTTCTCTTAGCAAAAACTAGTATAATTCGATTTTTAAAATAATTAGAAAATCATTATTAATATGCGGGTAATCACCTGGTGATTCTTATACTTCAATTATAAAAAACCTGGAGCTGTTGCAGGAGTTTTTTTACTGATCAAGAGAAATACTTGTTTCTTAAATTTTAAAGAAAATATTGTGTAAAAGTTACAATATAACGATCTTGAATATTCACAATTTATAGGGCACTAAATAATATGCAATATTTAAATAATAATAGCAAGTTTTAATAGTGAATGAAAAAACGGGTAATAGATCCGTTTATGGAACAAAAATTAAGACTATTCCCGGGTTAGATTTAATGGGAGAAGTGCAATGAGGTTATGGGAACGTTCTACATTTTTTTTTTCCAAAGAAGATTCAAGATGCTTTTGATTCAGAACACAATCGAAGACTAACGCATATGAACGACATAACAGAACTCGGTCGTACGAGTCGATACGAGATTCTCGTACGAATCGTACCGAAAGACTCGTCGAACTTGTCGCCAAAATGAAGTGGAATTATCCCGCCTTCCGCTGATACAAAAATTTACGTGACTCTCTGTGATAAATCCGTCGATTTTCCGGATTTTCGGTTCGCGAGACGCGGCACATTGGAGCAGAAAACGCGGGAAGTAGACGAACGGGCTCTACTTCGTGCCATCGTTCGGTCGCGAGATCGTTACTCCGTCACCTTCGACGGTCTCGGGGGACGGCTGAAAACAATCGCGACGTCCAAGGCTGGCCCAGGCGAAGGCACGAAGGACGCGTGCAAAATATTTATTCGAAATGTATACTAGCAAATATGGTGGAGTCGCGATGGGCGCCTCAGGGCTGTTCCTCACCGTGTTTCCATGCGGGTCGCTTGGCATGTACCAGGAACGCGTGAATCGTGTGTACCTACGTGACTCGGGATCCTCGTATATCCGCGTGCGAACGACGAAAGGTCGCTTGTTTCACAAGGTCTTGGCATGCCACGCGCCGTACAGCTGTGCTCCTTCCGTTCGCGCGTCTCTCGCGACTCGCTCACGGTGGTGGCTGCGGTTACCTCGTTGCTGACTGAGTTTATGTTAGTTCAAACTCACAGTTACGGCCAATCGCGGCGCGACGATTGGCCCGCGTGGAACGCCCCGGGCCAATCGGCAGCGCCATCTCGGGCGACACCTCGCGGCGACGCTGTCACCGAGGCTGGATCGCGTCAGCTTTCAAAAATCCTTTCGAAGAAAAATCGGAGAGTTTGGATTCGTTCGATTGTTTATTCTTTCCAAATTGCCAAGTCTCTCAACTGAGCTCTTTATTTCAGTGAAATATAATAGCTCATTGAAAGATAAATAAATATTTATTTTATATACAGAGGAACGTTTTTCAGATTTCTTTTACCTATTGTTGATATTTTCTTACGGTAATATTCTTTTTGGACTGCATACATATTTTTTTTCTCTAAAACATGAAGTTTTATTATATTACAGCTTCATTGTGAAATTTTTATGTAAACCGAGTTTATATTTGCTTATATTTTGTAATCTTAATTCAAATAATTTAAATAAACATTACTATATATAAATGCTTTATTCTGCGATTTGTTGGATCAATTTATTCGAGATAAAATTATCAATCCGATAAAAAAAAAGCACAACTACCATCCTCAGTCGCTGTATAGAGTATAGCAGCTACCCAGGGCAAAGTTTATTTGATTTCCTTTACAGAGAAGCACGTCATTAGACTGTGTTTTATTCGTTCGTGGCTGTGCGGGCTGTGCCGCTTACGTCGAAATGCAACACGAACATTTCGTCGTGAAATACATTGCAGCGAACAATTGCTTCGCACATCTATCGGCTACCTGGCTGCGCCGTTTGGAAACTAAGGTTAGTTCTCCGTTTTATGTAATCAGCGATCTCTGTTGTTCTGTCAATCTGTCATCAATATCAAAGTTGGGTAACCCAACCTCTACCAACCTTTCCGTCGTCAAAACAAGTGTCACGTGACTGCTGCGCGCCCTCCGCAGTCCGCTACACTAGCGCTCGTTGCGGGCGTGGCGCGAATCGTGAACCATGTAATTCATAGATAGGAAAACCTACGCCGGAATCAGACTACGCATTGAAGAATTGAGATTTAAGGGGATGCTAAACCGATTATCCAACTCAATCAAGGTCGATAGTACAGACTTTTTTAATTCCAAATTCGATAATAGTGGTGACATCTTTGATTTAGTTAATGGCCTTTAGTGAGAAATTTCATTACCGCAAGCACCATCTGAGGATGATATGATAAACTCGACGGTCGATAAAAGCGCAATCTTCAATATAAAGTAAAAACAGTTTTTATCATAATGATGTATTTCAAGATTACGTTTATATAGAATTTTTACATATTATTTATTATTATGTTATTAAGTTTACACGAGTCTTTTATCACGATACATGTAATATAAAATATATAAATTATTATAATTTGGATAATACAATATAGAAAAAAAAGTATAATTAAATATAAGTTTTACGATTGTAATATTTAATTTTAATAATTGATAGATGTGACTCTAATTGATAAAAATATATAAGCGAGATAGAAAATTTATACAGTCCAGTCAAATGAAAAAAAAAAAAAAGAAACAGGCTTTGATGATCTATACCTATAGATTGTTTACACAGATGATATTAGATAAAAACATATAGTCATTGTTTACTGTTACGTCTATATAAAATTTTAGATATATGTTATTTCTAGATGAAGAAATGGCTTCATTCTTTGTCTTTATTCTATTACTTCCATCTTTATCATACAATATTAATGCCCAATTTCTTCACTTACAGATAAGTTGCGGATAACCTTATCCAGGAGACATCTCCATTGTATTCTGGGAGATAGCTCTTGGATAAAGTTATCTAGAGGTGAAGAAATTGGACATAAGTGAAAGAAATTATCTTTTTCAAATTATCTTGGTATGTAGTGAGTTTATAAATATGCCCCTCCCCCTCCCGTGTAAAATTTTGAAACGTGATTTCCTTTTTTATAATCGAATTTTTATGTTTTTTATGTTGTTAGATCAGTGCTGTCCAGGATTTGTAGTTCTAAGCATTAACTTAATGTGTGTTATTTTTTTACTTTCTTTCATCTATCATTTTAAAAAAGAAAATCTTTTTAATCGAAGAACTTTTGTGTTATAAAAACCTAAATCTAAAAAAAGAATTAGATTCTTACTTTTTATCCACGTGTCAGATTTTCTTCAATTGTCACACATCTTGCTATCATTTGCGCAAATGAAGCATTTGGATTATATAATATAATAAGTATATGTAGCATGCAGAAATCATTTGTCACACAGATGAAATTAAATATATATTGGAAAAACTCTAATTTTTAAGAAATGAAAATTTTTTCAAACATGTCAAATAGTTCTATGCGATAAAATTAAAATTTATAAAATACGTTATATATTATGTCACTATGTTATTTTTTATAACTATTATATAAAATTAATAATTCATTTAAAATTATTAAAATAAATGATTTTATATGTGTATATCAATTTTAATGTTAACTCAGTTGTAAGTTTACTTAATTATAAAAGTATTATTTTATCATTCAAATTTGTAATAATTATAGACAAAATTTAGAAAAAAACTTGATCTCATGGAAATTTGTAAATTAATGAAATTAACATTTAAATTGATATAAATATTAGTCGCGCTTATTCGATATATCACAACATAATAAATAAATATTAATTATTAAATAACAATTTAAACATAAAATAATAACAGGGCTAAAATTAAAAATTCATGCAAACGTCCTTTTCTTCTCAGATTTCTACAAACGGTTATAGTGAATTATAATTATTGCAGTTACAAGTGTGTGTGACAACGATCAATGTACAAGAAGTATTAAACCGCTATTTCTTTTAACTTTTAAATTTTTCAAGCCTGTTGATTGGCTATAGAATAGAGAGATTCGAGGACCTCTTTGTTCTGCACATATTTGTCGTACGACAAAAACGCACAAATGAAATAACACCCTTAGGCTGCTTCTCGCCCTGATAGAGTGAACTGCAATGTTTACGAATCGTTGGCACTCTAATAATAGGTCTGAACGGAGATAACCCGCGAAACGCATAGCTTCTGATTGTATAAGAAATTACGAAATAATAATAAAATTAATGATAAATTAATTTAATAATAATTCATAATAATTAATGATAATATATGAAATTTTTTGGATTTTTTGAAAGTATTAAACAGCGACGACTTGATTACAGGAAAATGCGATCGAAATATCACACAATGAAAAAAAATACTACCTTTCTTGCATCGCTCGCATTAATAATGATGAAACATTATGTATCGGAGCAACATTCGCGAGAAGTTTGAACATCCAAGAGGGAGACGAAGTATTCGTATCCTCTGTGAAAAGCATTCCCTCGTTAAGCAGCATTCAGGTTGCTCCTCGCACGACAAGCGATCGCGAGCTTTTGGTACGATAATTCTTACAGATCGACTTATTATGCCAATGATGAATGAATTAATCGATTGTTCGGTAACAGGAATTACAAATGGAAAGAGTACAATCGAGTCTCTTGAGTCAAGTGAGAATCGTCGCGAAAGGACAGCCGCTCGTAGCGTGGATCTCAAAGTTTTCCTCCGTGACTTTCATTGCGGGCAAGTCGCTTGTTCTTCGTAATATATTTAGTATATAATATTATAGAAATAGCGCTATTATTCTCGATTACATAAATATTGAATTGATCTGTTTTTACCATATCCGTTTTAATATTATTATATTTTAGGATTCATGCAAAGGAAGTAGTCGAAGTAACTGATGAAGTCATTTGGCGTTATTAAAATATTAACATATATCAGGATATACAGGTATTAATATATTAATAATATCAAATGATTTCATTAAAACACACACAATAATAAATATTAATTAGCGGACATATATATAGCGCGGTACTTGGAGTGCAATATATAAAATATATTTACTATAATTTTACATTACTGTACTTGTTGATAACAATTTCCTTGAACGTTTCGGTTTATTTTGAACCATCATCAGCAATCCAAATAATTTCCGTGAACAATATTCTAATCTGTACATGTTGGAGATGGTCTCTGCGTTCGACAGAGGATGAGCACACCCCTACTATACATAAAATATATTTACTAGTAATGTAAAATTATAGTAAATATATTTTCTGTATTGCGATCCAAGTATTGCGCTGTGTATGCTCTCATTGCGCGCTAATTAGTATTCATTATTGTTTGAATTTCGAGAGCCCTATTAAGTATAATTTGGTTTTTGTTGATTTCATGAAGTTCTTCAAAGTTGAGAGAATATATAAAAATATATCTAAATGTATTTTTAATATTTTAATGCAAAGGATATTAAAAAAATATTCTGTACGTGATCCTTGCAGAGGATTCAGAGCCGAAATTCGCGTATGGGCTGCTCGAGGAATTCACAGAAGTGCACGTGCTTGATGCAATCGCAAGCGCAACGATAAAGGATGAGGTCGTTAAGAAGGAGGCTAACACGAAGATAGGCAATCCTTTGGCCAAGATCTTTCCTTACCTCGCCAAAAGAAAAGATCATCGCGATTCGAGGGACAACGCCGCAAATTATGCGTTACTGCAGAGCTTTGGCAGTAGAAGCGCATCTCGCGTGTTCCGTGTGTATCCTCTGCCGGATTTCCGGTCCTTCGATCAATTGAATGCACACGACATGATCCTGCAAGGTCCCTGTCACGTTCTGATTCCGAGGAGCTGTGTGCCGAAAAACATAAAACCGAGCGGAATAATGATGTGTAAATTTATGACATAAAAGAATTTTATTTTGTTAACAATTCGCGAGCGCTAATTTTTTTATTGTGCACAGAAAGAATAGCTTTGCTGAAGTATGAAAGAATTAAAACCAGATCAGAGACAGTCGTTGATTCCGTCGCATCGGCTTAATAAAAAATACACATTTCTGCATCAACAGTAACCGAAGTTAATTAAATTTAAACATTAAGAGATCTCCAGATCGAAACAAATAATTGATTTAAAA